CGATGTTAGCGGCATTGAGGTTGTCCGTCAGCACCTTGACTGTCCTGCCGGATAGACCCGCGGGTCGGTTGAAGGACTGGATAGCTAGAAGGATGGCGTGGAGCTCCTGCAGTGTGGACCCCATCCCGCTAACGTTGGGCTGCCAGCTGCCTCGGGCCGCGATAGGTTTGCCATCCAGAACTGTCCATGCGCCCCAGCCGCCTAAGGAGGCTGCAGACTTGCCGGCTGCATCGCAAAAGATTAGAGAGTGTACCTGAGTGGGAACCCATAAATGACGACGGCCGTTGAATTTGTCGAAGGACTTCAGCCAGAATTCTAGCTCCTCCCTCGCGGCTGGGGACAGGGAGAGGTGGGACCCCCATGTCGTCCGTGATTCGATGAGGTGGCCTATCGTGCGGGTTCGCAGGCGTGACCAGGGTCCAAAAGCCCAAGACATCGACAGGATTTGGCCTTTAATCGAAGCGAGAGCCTTCACCGGGATTCTTCGCCCACTTAGAGACAAACTAATGGTGGAGAGGAGTTTATCTTTCTTATCTTCAGGAACGATAAAAACCCCTTCTGCGGTGTCAATCAACATGCCCAGGTAACGGATTCTTTGCTGAACTGCGCCCAGCATGGATTTATTCCGGTTGACTATGAAACCGAGGGCTTCGAGCTGGGACACCACCTCTGCCCTCCGTGCTACCAGCTGAGCTGCATCCTGACTGGCGTGAGCTTGGTCGTCTATGTAGCCAGTGCAGCGCCATCCGCGAGCACGCCAGGGGTGCATGACCTCTCGCATGAGTTTGGTGAAAGCCCAGCACGCGGATGCTAAACCGAAGGGGAGCTGGGTAAAAACATAAAAGACGCCGCGCCAGCAAAACCCCAGGTATTCCCAGAAGGATGGGTCGATGTCTAGATGGTGGTAGCCGCTCTTGAGGTCGATCGTAAACATAAAGTCATTCGGGAGCAGCCAGCCAGGCACCGCTCTGAGATCTTCATAGCGAAACTCCGGAATAGAAAGATATTTATTCACTGGGCGCCCATCCCAAATGAGCCGACACTTAGTTGTTTGCTGCACGACCCCCAACGGGCAAACCACGCGAGGTTGAGTCGGCCAAACTCTGGCAGTGCCCGAGGCCACTAACTCTGCCACGGCTTGATCAGTGAAGGTTGCATGCTCATCCGCGGAGGCGTGATTCTGGCCGAAAGACGGAGGAGGTGGGGTCCCCTTCTCCCAACGCAGGGGAAACCCACTAACGATCCAGGAAAGGACAAGGGCATTGGTCACCCACGCCTTCCAGGCAGGTGCGCAGCGTCGGAGCCTGCCGTGCATCTGGGCGGGTGCTGGGGTTGGCGAACGTGGGACGCCAGAGGGTGGTTGGTTTCCGCTAGCAAACTTAGCTGCGTATTCGCCTTTTTCGTCCCCCCAGAGCCCGTGCTGTTCGCCGGGCCCACCTTTCTCATCATCAGCAGACCGCGCCGGTTGTTTCCTGTGCAGAACTGGTGCTGTGTCTGTGGGTGCCTGGGTGACCACTGGGTGTCTTGTCGTGCCCTTCTGAACCGCTAGCCGTTTTCCTGGTTGAGTGTCGCTGAGCTGGCCTGCTGCAAAGTCCGGTACAGCCCACGTCTGCTAGTACGACTGGGTCTAGCTCTGTTTCTGAACCGATCAGGCTAAGAAAGGCGTCCACGTCGGCGTCGGTCATGGTGTGGTTGAGGTTGTGCGATCCCTTATGCGACTGCGGAGCGAGGCGAAGAGAGGCAAAGGGCGAGAACCAGAGTAACTACAGATATCGCCTGACCGCGCGAAAACAAGTTCCGAATAACCGAGAGAGAAACCGAAGCGTGAGAACTGATAGGTCACAGCTATGGAAAGTCCTTCTCCACCGGCCGGCGAGCCGCCTCGCCACAAGAACGAAAAAATAGTGCAGAACAGCACCAACGCCACAAACCGGAAAAAGAGCCAGAGCCTTTCATAGAAAGAGCGGCTAATTAACCTGCCCAACCGCCTGTTAACACCAGCGAGAAAAGGTCTCCGTCCCGAAAACGAACATGGGGGGACTCTCTTGATAGATGGCCTACACCGACCTTGAAAGCGACTGCAAAAACTCATAGACGTGAAGGACGGGCCACGAAAGACAAGCGCAAGCGTGCTCCAAAACTCTCCAAAGAAGACCAAGACCTTGTCCACGAACCAAAGGCAGCTTGACAACCAAAGTCATGACGCGCACACAGGCGCACAGCGATGGGGCCTAGGCGCACGCGGGCGCACAGCAGGTGAGTCCGAAGCGCACGCGGGCGCACAGTGATGGGCCAAGGCGCACGCGGGCACACTAGACGAGGCCAACATGCACGCGGGCGCACTAGACGAGGCCAACACGCACGCGGGCGCACTAGACGGGGCCAACGCGCACGCGGGCGCACAACCAAATGGCCAAAGCGCACGCGGGCGCACTAGATGAGGTCAACACGCACGCGGGCGCACAACCAGACAGCCAAGGCGAATGAAGGTGCAGCTCGCAGAAAGGCGAAAACCAAAGGTGTGCAGGCCTGTGTACAACGCTCAACGCCGCCGCTTTTCATCTCTCGCATTACGGCCGGCATCATCTTCGCGCCTCCTGTAGTCGTACCCAGAGCCGCCACGCGCTCCACCCCCTCGCGAGCCGCCTGCTCCATCACCGCCAGTGCCGTGACCGCCTGCTCCCCCACCTGAGCGGCTGGCAGCGCGCTTTAGCGCTTGGTCCTTGACGCCGTCTACCAATTTCCGGGGTTTTGTCTTGTCCCGGAGCTTGTCCTCATTACACAAAATGCTGAAGCAGATGTCGGCGGCAGCAAGGCCAATACGCGGCTCGGCTGCCAAGGTGTTGGTGACCGCCATGCCGACCTCCGCACGGCGAATCAAAGGCTTGAGAACCTTAGTGGCGCCCTTGACATTCGGCGGATCCTCTGCCAACAATGCTAAAGCCAGTTTGCCCTGCGTGGCAAAACCATGGAAAATTTGCTTGCGGAAGCCCGACGGGTCAGTGGGCTGTTGTGCCTCGATTCGGTCCACCAGGCGCCGCAATCTCTCCGGAGCTTCGTCGTCGCTGCTTGATGATGAACTCGAGCTGGAGCTTTCTTCCTTCTTCTTCCTTTTCTCCTTGCTCCTTTTAGCCTTGTCTGGTGCGACCGATGCCGCCGCGGCCTGGGCTGGCGACAGCACAGTGGCTGCCGGATTTTGACCAGCTGTTATTACCTTGGCCATGGAGGCCAAAAGCTGGCTCTGCTCTGCCATCTGTTGCTGCAATGGAGTTATGTTTTGCTGGATGGCGGTGGTAACCACCGCCGCTCCAGTGGCGGGGCTGCCGGCCGGTGGAGAAGTTCGGTTGGGAAGTGGTGGGAAAGTTATGCCACCAGCCTCGCTGGTGGAGGGACCCGCAAAGCCGGTGGTGGCGTTGATCACTAAATTGGCGCCATCTTGGGCGGCCGTACCTTGCCTTTGCTGCACTTGCTCGTTGTTCAACGCTGACATCAGAAACAAAAGACTACAGGAACTTGAAACAGATGGTGATGACTAGGTGGGGCTTCGATGGCGAGCACGATGCTCTATCCGAGATTGAACAGCAAAAAGAGAGAAAGCTGTCAGCTATAAGCTGAAGCTCTACTGAGTGAAAGGCAGAATGCCTGAAACGAAAGAGCTGAAGCAATTAATACTCGCCATTCCAATACGGTTGTACGACAGTCGCACAGAACCAGACTTAGAGACTCCGATCGCTTCGCTCCGTCGTATCTAAGTCAACAATAATATGTATAGGATATGTATGTATGTATAAGGGATTTAATGTATGTCCTAATAAGGGAGCGAAATGTCCAAAGCGCAGCTATGATGAGATGAGCCTTAGCAGCTCATTTCTTGTGGTACGGTGGCCGAGTGGTCTAAGGCGTAGGATTAAGGCTCCTATCTGCAAGGGCGCAGGTTCAAGTCCTGCCCGTATCAGACGACGATACGTCATGCGATGCATGCGCATGTCGTGCACGTGCATGGTATGTCGTACGTATGCAGGTATGTTGATTACAACATCAATACCATTGTCACCTGCTGATTTATTTAGGCAAGGAATTCCTTGGGTAGTTCGAGCTACCTAATGCGGCATATTGGGGAGAAGTCAAACCTGTATTCTAGGCATGTCAATTGCAAGCTGACATCGACAACAGAAGGCAGCAGCAGGCAGGCAACCAGCCATCTGTAGTAGCCATCCCTTATTATTGTAGGCAAATGAGTGATCACATCCATAGATGTGGATGTGATCAGTTGGCCAACTGTGCATGCATATGCCGTGTAGCAGGCCGACAGGAAGGTGTTCAACCGGTTGAGCACCTATACCTAGCTAGGTACCAGGCCTGATCATGATACCAGGCACAGAGGGTGGTCAAGCAGAATTGAGGATTTAAGGGTTTGGGCACCCAGTCATCTGCAGCTGGATGTACTAGCCATCCCTTACCCTTAGGTGAATGGGTGATCACATTTTCTTTATTCAGCCGTGAAGCAGGCTGAGAGAAAGGTGTTCAACCACGGAGTATATATGGTCAAGTGGCAAAAGTAAATATCAAGATATGTGATAGTAGAGTCAGGAGACATAATA